TTTTACAGCATTTTTGACCAAAAAGGTCATATCATGGTAGGAGTCTCAGACTTGGCTGGTCGACTCCTCAGGTCATTTGGGACATACTGAACTGAACATTTTTCACTTTGGAGCCAATGTTGAGATCGTCTTTGATCGCCCATAGCTCCACTCCCAGGGGTGAGCGGGGGTCAAGGACGGTGAAAACGTGACCTCCAGGTCAAGGTCTACCCGCATGCAAAGTTTCAAATCGCTGCGAGAATTTTTAATTTTTGGTGTCATTGGAGTACTAGGTGTTAGACTTATAGTCTTTTTACAGCATTTTTGACCAAAAAGGTCATATCATGGTAGGAGTCTCAGACTTGGCTGGTCGACTCCTCAGGTCATTTGGGACATACTGAACTGAACATTTTTCACTTTGGAGCCAATGTTGAGATCGTCTTTGATCGCCCATAGCTCCACTCCCAGGGGTGAGCGGGGGTCAAGGACGGTGAAAACGTGACCTCCAGGTCAAGGTCTACCCGCATGCAAAGTTTCAAATCGCTGCGAGAATTTTTAATTTTTGGTGTCATTGGAGTACTAGGTGTTAGACTTATAGTCTTTTTACAGCATTTTTGACCAAAAAGGTCATATCATGGTAGGAGTCTCAGACTTGGCTGGTCGACTCCTCAGGTCATTTGGGACATACTGAACTGAACATTTTTCACTTTGGAGCCAATGTTGAGATCGTCTTTGATCGCCCATAGCTCCACTCCCAGGGGTGAGCGGGGGTCAAGGACGGTGAAAACGTGACCTCCAGGTCAAGGTCTACCCGCATGCAAAGTTTCAAATCGCTGCGAGAATTTTTAATTTTTGGTGTCATTGGAGTACTAGGTGTTAGACTTATAGTCTTTTTACAGCATTTTTGACCAAAAAGGTCATATCATGGTAGGAGTCTCAGACTTGGCTGGTCGACTCCTCAGGTCATTTGGGACATACTGAACTGAACATTTTTCACTTTGGAGCCAATGTTGAGATCGTCTTTGATCGCCCATAGCTCCACTCCCAGGGGTGAGCGGGGGTCAAGGACGGTGAAAACGTGACCTCCAGGTCAAGGTCTACCCGCATGCAAAGTTTCAAATCGCTGCGAGAATTTTTAATTTTTGGTGTCATTGGAGTACTAGGTGTTAGACTTATAGTCTTTTTACAGCATTTTTGACCAAAAAGGTCATATCATGGTAGGAGTCTCAGACTTGGCTGGTCGACTCCTCAGGTCATTTGGGACATACTGAACTGAACATTTTTCACTTTGGAGCCAATGTTGAGATCGTCTTTGATCGCCCATAGCTCCACTCCCAGGGGTGAGCGGGGGTCAAGGACGGTGAAAACGTGACCTCCAGGTCAAGGTCTACCCGCATGCAAAGTTTCAAATCGCTGCGAGAATTTTTAATTTTTGGTGTCATTGGAGTACTAGGTGTTAGACTTATAGTCTTTTTACAGCATTTTTGACCAAAAAGGTCATATCATGGTAGGAGTCTCAGACTTGGCTGGTCGACTCCTCAGGTCATTTGGGACATACTGAACTGAACATTTTTCACTTTGGAGCCAATGTTGAGATCGTCTTTGATCGCCCATAGCTCCACTCCCAGGGGTGAGCGGGGGTCAAGGACGGTGAAAACGTGACCTCCAGGTCAAGGTCTACCCGCATGCAAAGTTTCAAATCGCTGCGAGAATTTTTAATTTTTGGTGTCATTGGAGTACTAGGTGTTAGACTTATAGTCTTTTTACAGCATTTTTGACCAAAAAGGTCATATCATGGTAGGAGTCTCAGACTTGGCTGGTCGACTCCTCAGGTCATTTGGGACATACTGAACTGAACATTTTTCACTTTGGAGCCAATGTTGAGATCGTCTTTGATCGCCCATAGCTCCACTCCCAGGGGTGAGCGGGGGTCAAGGACGGTGAAAACGTGACCTCCAGGTCAAGGTCTACCCGCATGCAAAGTTTCAAATCGCTGCGAGAATTTTTAATTTTTGGTGTCATTGGAGTACTAGGTGTTAGACTTATAGTCTTTTTACAGCATTTTTGACCAAAAAGGTCATATCATGGTAGGAGTCTCAGACTTGGCTGGTCGACTCCTCAGGTCATTTGGGACATACTGAACTGAACATTTTTCACTTTGGAGCCAATGTTGAGATCGTCTTTGATCGCCCATAGCTCCACTCCCAGGGGTGAGCGGGGGTCAAGGACGGTGAAAACGTGACCTCCAGGTCAAGGTCTACCCGCATGCAAAGTTTCAAATCGCTGCGAGAATTTTTAATTTTTGGTGTCATTGGAGTACTAGGTGTTAGACTTATAGTCTTTTTACAGCATTTTTGACCAAAAAGGTCATATCATGGTAGGAGTCTCAGACTTGGCTGGTCGACTCCTCAGGTCATTTGGGACATACTGAACTGAACATTTTTCACTTTGGAGCCAATGTTGAGATCGTCTTTGATCGCCCATAGCTCCACTCCCAGGGGTGAGCGGGGGTCAAGGACGGTGAAAACGTGACCTCCAGGTCAAGGTCTACCCGCATGCAAAGTTTCAAATCGCTGCGAGAATTTTTAATTTTTGGTGTCATTGGAGTACTAGGTGTTAGACTTATAGTCTTTTTACAGCATTTTTGACCAAAAAGGTCATATCATGGTAGGAGTCTCAGACTTGGCTGGTCGACTCCTCAGGTCATTTGGGACATACTGAACTGAACATTTTTCACTTTGGAGCCAATGTTGAGATCGTCTTTGATCGCCCATAGCTCCACTCCCAGGGGTGAGCGGGGGTCAAGGACGGTGAAAACGTGACCTCCAGGTCAAGGTCTACCCGCATGCAAAGTTTCAAATCGCTGCGAGAATTTTTAATTTTTGGTGTCATTGGAGTACTAGGTGTTAGACTTATAGTCTTTTTACAGCATTTTTGACCAAAAAGGTCATATCATGGTAGGAGTCTCAGACTTGGCTGGTCGACTCCTCAGGTCATTTGGGACATACTGAACTGAACATTTTTCACTTTGGAGCCAATGTTGAGATCGTCTTTGATCGCCCATAGCTCCACTCCCAGGGGTGAGCGGGGGTCAAGGACGGTGAAAACGTGACCTCCAGGTCAAGGTCTACCCGCATGCAAAGTTTCAAATCGCTGCGAGAATTTTTAATTTTTGGTGTCATTGGAGTACTAGGTGTTAGACTTATAGTCTTTTTACAGCATTTTTGACCAAAAAGGTCATATCATGGTAGGAGTCTCAGACTTGGCTGGTCGACTCCTCAGGTCATTTGGGACATACTGAACTGAACATTTTTCACTTTGGAGCCAATGTTGAGATCGTCTTTGATCGCCCATAGCTCCACTCCCAGGGGTGAGCGGGGGTCAAGGACGGTGAAAACGTGACCTCCAGGTCAAGGTCTACCCGCATGCAAAGTTTCAAATCGCTGCGAGAATTTTTAATTTTTGGTGTCATTGGAGTACTAGGTGTTAGACTTATAGTCTTTTTACAGCATTTTTGACCAAAAAGGTCATATCATGGTAGGAGTCTCAGACTTGGCTGGTCGACTCCTCAGGTCATTTGGGACATACTGAACTGAACATTTTTCACTTTGGAGCCAATGTTGAGATCGTCTTTGATCGCCCATAGCTCCACTCCCAGGGGTGAGCGGGGGTCAAGGACGGTGAAAACGTGACCTCCAGGTCAAGGTCTACCCGCATGCAAAGTTTCAAATCGCTGCGAGAATTTTTAATTTTTGGTGTCATTGGAGTACTAGGTGTTAGACTTATAGTCTTTTTACAGCATTTTTGACCAAAAAGGTCATATCATGGTAGGAGTCTCAGACTTGGCTGGTCGACTCCTCAGGTCATTTGGGACATACTGAACTGAACATTTTTCACTTTGGAGCCAATGTTGAGATCGTCTTTGATCGCCCATAGCTCCACTCCCAGGGGTGAGCGGGGGTCAAGGACGGTGAAAACGTGACCTCCAGGTCAAGGTCTACCCGCATGCAAAGTTTCAAATCGCTGCGAGAATTTTTAATTTTTGGTGTCATTGGAGTACTAGGTGTTAGACTTATAGTCTTTTTACAGCATTTTTGACCAAAAAGGTCATATCATGGTAGGAGTCTCAGACTTGGCTGGTCGACTCCTCAGGTCATTTGGGACATACTGAACTGAACATTTTTCACTTTGGAGCCAATGTTGAGATCGTCTTTGATCGCCCATAGCTCCACTCCCAGGGGTGAGCGGGGGTCAAGGACGGTGAAAACGTGACCTCCAGGTCAAGGTCTACCCGCATGCAAAGTTTCAATGCGTATATCTGAATACTGTATATCTGTGAACAATATTCCTGAACTTTGTAAAACATATTGTACCAAGTCTTCGTATACCAGAATGCTTGGGGAAAAAACAATTCAATTGTAGTATGGGCCTGAGACTTTACATTACTGAAATAAATGTATGTGTATGTGTTTCTGTATGTCTATGTCCGAACTGCATTTACACCAATCAAACACACGTGCTATGCTGCGCCCGTGTATGAGGTATACCTTATTAGAAGAAAGACCTGATAACTTCGGCAACAGATGAACTTTGGACCTTGTGTTTCATACTTCAAATGTTCTAAACTCGAAGACAAAACAAGAAATGAAACGTTTGCTTTCTTGATGGATTTTTTCACACCTTGCTCTTTAGTTCGTCCCCGCCCTTATGTCTTACCACCGTCTCACACAAACAATGTATTTCACTTTAAATGGCCCTCAGTATACACCTTGAAACAATTATTGGAACAAACAAAAAGTCAAGAGAATGTTGGTGATGGTCCCCAGAAAAGAGAAAATAGTGCAAACTTTCGCACAGCACCGCGTCGCGACTATAGACAGTTTGGACAAATAACCACCGCTGGATAGTTCAACAGAATGTTCCACACACTACTGACGATCCAAAAATTGGCAACCATCGTTTTAATTTTTTTGGAACTAGTTTTTATCAACGACGGCCCACGAATACGCCACGTCTGGGAGAATTCCTTTCACGACATTTCACAAAACAGCTTTGCTAATAGCTTACGTGCTATTTATATTGGTCTGGGTCCTTAGCATTTTTTCCTAACACATATTTATTTGTCTTTTCGGGGACCATCTTAACGCTGCCAACGTCCTCTTGCGGTCATTTCCTTCCATTCACAATTGTACGACTTCCTTGCAGCCATTGCCATTGCTCCCTTGCGCCTGTCACCTAAAGTCGCCGATTGCTTATCATCCCAGTGAGGAATATGAAGAGTTCTTTTCACACAGTGTAGGTAAGTAATATTGAGGTTGCATTGAGCAGCACATGCAAAGGTAAATTGTCTTTGCAGCAACAGAAGTCCAAAAATACTTCATCACGCGAGAGAGCTTCAGTTTCTGTTCACTCTTTCTGCCACGCCCAATTAAACAACGGTGCTGTCGGCATGTCACAAACATTTATTCAGAATGTCGTCCACACTGGAATAAAACAACATTGACACGTCATTACAAAGAGATAAAAAATAAATTAATATTTCACCACTAATAATCAAAAATAATGTTGTGGATTGTTTTTAAATATCAAACACACCATCATGGAACCAACCGCTGCCATTTGTCCTCTTGTTCAATGTCAATGTCATATTATGCTACTTGTAAGAGGCAATCATTTAAAGGAGGCAGCTCGTCTGCGGCTTTGGGGCCATTGTCAACTACCTATTGAACAACAACAACAACCCTGTGTTGAACTGCTCATAGTGGTGCTAACTGGCACAGTGTTCTACAGAGAAACAAGTTCATACCAACTCACTGTTTGGAGACTCTTAAATGTTCTACACTGTAGAAACAATGTTGCACTGTTAGTAAACCTGCCAAGGCTTTAACTCAGTTATTCCACAGTTCATAAGACTTAACAGCCCTATTCTGATTTCATTGGTTTGGTTTGGTGTGGTGTGGTGTGGTGTGGTGTGGTGTGGTGTGGTGTGGTGTGGTGTGGTGTGGTGTGGTGTGGTGTGGTTTGGTTTGTTTGTTTGTTTGTTTGTTTGTTTGTTTGTTTGTTTGTTTGTTGTTTAATGCCGCTCTCAGCAATATTGCAGCTATATGACGGCGGTCTGTAAATAATCGAGTTTGGAAAAGACAATCTAGTGATTGACATCATGATCCACACAATTAGGATACGATGACATGCAGCAACCAAGTCAGCGAAGCTGACCACCAGATCCCATTAGTTGCCTTTTACGACAAGCATAGCCACCATTTGCAGCAAGCATGGGTTGCTGAAGATCTAATCTAACCCGGATCATAATGTGTGTGTGTGTGTGTGTGTGTGTGTGTGTGTGTGTGTGTGTGTGTGTGTGTGTGTGTGTGTGTGTGTGTGTGTGTGTGTGTGTGTGTGTGTGTGTGTGTGTGTGTGTGTGTGTGTGTGTGTGTGTGATATCTATCTGTCTGTCTGTCTGTCTGCCTGCCTGCCTGCCTGCCTGCCTGCCTGCCTGCCTGCCTGCCTGCCTGCCTGCCTGCCTGCCTGCCTTACAGCAGATAATTCAGGAGACATTATGCGGTGCTTCAACAATGCTTCAACAATGCTTCACATCTTCACACAGGGTGGTAGGGGCAGATGCTTATGATAAACCAAAACTGGACATGCATTACTTGTTTATAATTTATTGACAAAAGTTTGGCAAATCTGACTCAGTCAGTCAGTCAGTCAGTCAGTCAGTCACTAATATTCTTTACTTGCCATGACTTGGTGCAGTTCATAGCTTATACAGTGGACATGTTGAGATACCGTGAGGCTAATGATGTGCATATTGACATGAACATGATAATGGTGACATCTTAATTGTGGGTAAATGTATGTTTTGGACAGGTGGGATTTTGAATAAATGCATACAAAATATGATTTGAATCTTTCATGTTTTGTTTTATCATGTTTATTGAACTGAGTAGCATCATACACTTAGCTGGGATGCTGACAGATTTGCACATTGGGTTGATGCTCACTGTATCCATTATGGCACAGCTAGTATGGTAAGACAAGCCTGTTGGATAATCTAAGGATAAACTAGGGGGTTTGCAGTATAGAGCAATTACCAATAGGTATATCCAGCAGTATAGGTCAGCACTGTGTACTGGGTAGAGTGACACACAGTGAGCCAGCTCACACATCCCGACCACCGGGCTACAGTTGGCTGACTACATGGGTTCTATGGACCTGACATACAGCAGTCACCCTGGGATGATTGGATAGTCACAGAGAATGAGGCAAGCCTTTCTGGGTACCTTTTTATTTGGTTTTTATTAAAACCCTGCAACTGTGGAGGACTACAATAAACTGGTGCTGCATTTGGTATATGATTTCATGTGCACTCTTTGTTTTGTCAAACAGTTTATGTCACTGAAAAGGTAATGAGTTGAACTTGAATCTGATGTGGTTGTCTTCCTCATGAAAATAGTAGTAGTCAGCCTCAGTGTCTCCTGGTAGCCTCAGGGTTAAAGTGTTCACTTGTCATGCCAGGTACGGGTTCAATTGAGTATAATGTGGCGAAGCCCATTTCTGGTTTCCTCCACCATGATATTAATGCAGTATTGTCAAAAGTCACATTAAACCACTGACTGACTGACTGACTGACTGACTGACTGACTGACTGACTGACTGACTGACTGACTGACTGACTGACTGACTGACTGACTGACTGACTGACTGACTGACCAGGGTAACTTAAGGTAATTGTGGCTAAGGACATTGTTGGTGTATCTGGCACCTTCAGTAGGGTGAGCATACAGTTATACTTACACAAATACCTCATTAATTTAACCTTGTCAAGCAAACTTATAATACATCTTTCTTGTAAAACTCAGGTCAGGGGGTTTAGAGTTAATCAGATTACCATGTACGAGACAATGGTCGCCACTCACAGGCCCAAGAACACCTGAAGAGTAAAATACTAATAAATGTTCAGGGGTGCTTAGTAATCCTTGTGGGTTCAATAATAATTTGATGAAGACCAATAGTTGCCTGCAAATATTCTAGTGGTTTAAAGATACTAAGGTAATCTATATTGAATCAATACCTATTAACATATCAATCAAGCCGCAGTATTGACCACTTTAAGTATGTTACAACATCTCTATCACAGATCAACAGTTGTTCCTTCTTACAAGTGATTTTCATCCAAAATGTCTTGAGTCCTATTAATAACTTCTCCATGCATTTAGTAAATAAGTTGTCATTAATATAGATGGCAACCCCTGCGACCCTTGTAGATCTATCTAGAGTAAATGCACTGCGGAAACCTGGTAGTAATTTCTTCATTTAAAATATGAGAGTGTAACCTGTTTTTTCTAATATATATTACATTATATCATTAAATTTGATGTTAATAATATGAATCTTGTAATTGGGACTTCCTATACTAGGCATCTACATCCCCCTAGTGCTGAAAGTACAGATGAACTAGATAATATAATATAGATGTAGACTGTGTTTAAATCTCTTTGTACAAAGAACCTTACAATTAAATGCCCTGATTCTCTGTTGATACTGTACAATACCTACTCCCATCAAACACTTTCATAGGATCAATTTGGATAGAAACTCAGAGTCTGCAAAGTAAGGTGTCAAGATAGTTGTTTTAATATAAGAATTATTGATCATTTATCATATCTGTATCAGAACGCATGAGCTGGTGGCATGTTGTCCTGTGCACAGTGCACAGGTCACAAATCATGTCAAGTTAAGCTACACTGGTTGTGGGGAGTAGTTGGATGACTTTGTTCAGCAGCTTGGCTGCTGAGATTTTCTTGGACTTTGGTACTGCCTCACTCTGAAGCACATTTAACGTTTGTGGTGTCCCCTTGGGCAAGTGACTGTTTGAAATGTGCCTTTGTTCACCCAGCAGTGAATGGGTACCCGGTAGGATGAGATGTCAATGTGACGGTTAACCTGCTAGTGCCTCAAAGCAGTTTGGGTTGTATACTCCCTAGGGAGCTGGGTATGATTGTTAAGTGCAAGCTGATCCACTGAACGGCTGATAAGTGTGCTTTGAGCAACCACATAGTGGATGGAAAACAGCCAACAAATGCACTTGTGTTGTATGAAATGTGAATGCAGTATAGATTTTCAAATGTTAAAAAAAAATAATGCCAAACAGGCATAATAAATAGAGTAAAATTAAAGGTTTTCAGATCATCTGTATATAATCTGCATGTTAACCTCTCACACAAGACAGGTCAGCACAATAGAGGTCACCCATAAGGCATTTGTCCAGTGACCATGACAAAATAAAGTTCAGAATAAATAATCATAATAAATAAAGATATGCACTGAAAGTATAGTCACAGTTTAGATGATTGATGGCAGTAATGCCCCTCTAGAGATCATAATTATGTTGACAAATAGAGTGAGGCACCTAATCGCAAGCTCACAAACTCAGCGATCTAACCCACTCAGCCACCGAGGCTTAGAAAGTGTGATCCCAAATATAACATTTGTTACATTCTAAATATCATTGTGTGTTCACGTTCCAAATTGTTATGGTTCTTAGTGTTAGGTTATCATTACAAGTTAAAAATGTAGATATATATTATATAAAATATGTCTCACTGTATTGTCACTTTAATACCTATCTTTAAAGTCACATGTCAGCACAGTTATTTGGTTGTCCAGCAGCACTAAGAAATTCAAGGGGAGTCTTAATCCTGCTATGAACTTGTCCGCAACCTCTGATCCATCTCAGTGTAAGTCCTCTTAAGGGATTGGGGACGGGCACCATGAACCATCTGAGCTAACTTGGTACCGACCCACTGGGGTACACTTGCCCAGGCAGCCTCCCTGAGCCATTACACGCATCCGCGTTCGCTTTTGTTTATTCCAACTTTTGGTTGAACCGGACCTTCCGGTTTTTCTGTCGATGTTATGGTTGCAGAATAAACTGCATTGAGTTGACACTGCGGTGCTGACTAATCCTGGGTTCTGTACATATTTCCAGTGTACACAAGTCAGTCGCTGGTTGTTGAGTCTGTATCTGAAGCCATGGAGGAGGACTTGCCTACCGCCTTTCTGCCACGTGAAGTATTCAACTTTATTTGGATTTGTCATAGTTTAAAGATTCCATGATAAGCATTTTATAACTATACATTTCCTTTTCCATTTTGAGTAAAGAAAATGAAATTCTTATTTCTCATGAAATATCTCAAACTTGACTCTAAATTGCCATCAAAATACTGGAGATGCAAGTGAAGAGAAACGAAACTAAAACAACACGATCTGTACCTCTTGTTATCCCCTGGCATATGATGCGGCGATATGGTCGACGCCTAGTCTGTCTGTCTGTCTGTCTGTCTGTCCGTATGTCCATCAGTAATCATTTCATTTCCAGAGCGTAACTGGAAAACCATTCAAAATCTTTTAACAAAACTTGGCAGATATATCAAACAGATTCCAAAGAGGTGCCCTTTGCTATTTTACAGATTTGGGGCATTTTTCATTTTCTTGATTTCCATGGAAACAATTTTGAGTTAGTGTCAAAAGGTAGGGATAGGTGTCGTTTCCAGAGCACAACCTTAAAACTGTGAAAGACTGTTCATGTAGACCTGGTACATGTATTAATCAAGGGCTGAAGTGGTGCTTTTTGCTATTTTTGAATTTAAAAAGAAAAAGTTTCTGTTTCCAAGGCAACAAGTTTGACTGATTGTTGATAGTGGTGTATGTGTTTGTTCTAACCATATCTCTAATACTAACAGGTATTAGAGGTTTGGTGAAAAGGGATTTTCTCCATTTGGAGTTATAATTTTTAATAAGTGATTGAAAATTTAGATTTTTAATGCTTCGGCTTAGAGAGGTGGAAAAGATTAATTTGGGGGATGGATTTATCATTGCTTATTTGGCTGCTGTGTCAGCGGAGTCATTACCTGGTATGTTTGAGTGGCTAGGTATCTATGATAGATCAACTGATTTATCTGATCTAAATTCTGAAGTTAGTTTAATCATGTTGTTTTTAAGTCTAGTCAAGTTTTTAAGTATTTATTTTGAATTTTTTTATGGAGCTTAAAGAGTCTTTCAGTCAGATTGTTGTTTTTTTAAAATATTTTTATTTCAATTCAGTAGACATATATGTAACATTGGTACATGAGGTATATATATACATGTAGCTATTCATAGAATCTTAAAACATGATCAGATATGGGTAAGTACATCTATTGATTGACTGAGAAATTATAATAAGTAGGCTGATAATTCCATCCATTTTCTGTCGAATCTCTTAATACTACTATTTTTCATGAATTTTTCTATTTTACATACATCTTTCAACATTTTATGAAAAAAGGAAAGCATAATGGAGTTTTCTTAGTGCTTGACTGGTGAATGCATTTTTTGCAAGAAGAATTATGTGGTTGTAGCAAAATAACTTATCCAGAATGGTAATATGAATATCATAAGCAAGTTTCGAGTTAAGGTACATTTCAATTTCTAACCAAAATTCCTTTACAAAAACACATTCTACATACACATGGTAGAAGTTTTCAGATTCAGAGACATAAAATGAGCATATATCATCATCTATTAACTTCATTTTCCATAATTCCTTTTTGGTATATAAAGCTCAATTTATGAATCTGTACTGGAAATCTATTAGTTTAACATCATTGGTATACAATCTACAAATAAAGAAAGCGTTTATCACACCCATTTATCACACATCAGAGAAAAGTTAGTTTATAGCTATAAGTTCATCATAAAATATTCTGGAGCCCTTTCGTATCAACATGTCTCTCAAAATGTTATTTATGTATAAGTTAGCTGTGATAGAAGATCTGCCATTTATTGCTTTTTCCCATGATTTAGGAATATTTAGCATTGCTCTGTTGTAGTCAAGTAAAGTACCTTTAATTTGAAATTGGTTTTGTAATTCTTCAAATGTTCAAAATCTGTTGTTGCTACATAAATCTTTTAAACTATGAATACCCTTATTACACCAATGTTTTAGAATTAAATTATTTTTATATTGGTGATTGAACCATAATGGTTCTGATAAAATTTTGTCAATACTTTGTTTGTCAACTTTGTTTTCTGTAGTAATTACCCCAAATATTCAACATGTCCCCCCAAAAGGGATTTTTCGAAGTTATACACTTATCAATATTTGCTCCCAAAAGGAATATCTGTTTTGATTGGAAGTTCTTTAATGTTGATGAAGTAGGTTTTTGTAAACTTGTCCTTAAAAATGATAATTTCAATGAATCAATAAAATGGCTGGTATCTATCATTCTCAGACCACCTCCTTCATATTTCCTTATCAAAGTAGATATTTTTATTTTGTCTGGTTTGTTATTCCAAATGAATGTATAAAATAGTTTATTAAATTTTCCAATAAAATTATCAGGTGGGTTTGGAAGTGCTGAAAATATATGAACAAATGTTGAACAAGCCAGAGTCTTAAAAACTGTGATTTAACCTGTTAATGGTAGATGTCTTTTTTTTCAGCTTCCCAGTAATCTATTCATATGTTCGAGTCTTTTTCTTGTATTTATTACCCATGGATCAAGTAATGTGGGATTAAATATTATTCCCAAGACTTCCAAGTTTCCCTGATGCCAGTCTGATATTATGTCTTCATGTCTTCTAGTTTGTGATGCTGCTTCCTGCAACTGAACCTATCCATGTAGCTTTAGGTTTGTCAATATTTACCTTAAGACCGGATATTCTATACAATTTATTCAAAGTATCAATTGCAGCTCTTCAGATCCATCTAAAAATAACTGTGTATCATCTGCATATTGACCTAATTTATACTCCATATCATTTATTGTTATTCCTTTGCCGGCATCCTCTTTGGTTCTGAAAAAGGTGGAGAGATGTCGATTTTGTATTACACAAGATGCATTCTTAGTTAAGATATTAACCCATTTAATTATGTTTGTTCCAAAACCAATTTTTTCATAACCATTTTTACATAATTATAAGAAAGTGGGTTTTGTTCAGGTTTTTCGCTTGGTGGAGTGCTGCTGATATGGTCAGTAATTCTGCTGTATTTGAATTTTTGTGATGATATTTAGTGGTAATTGTGGGGTTGGTCTACATGGATACCTATGCTGGTGTTGTTGTTTGTGTCTTGTGATGCATCGGTGTATGCGTGGGTATGTGATGGCCAGTTTGTGTCTTGTGATGCATCGGTGTATGCGTGGGTATGTGATGGCCAGTTTGTGTCTTGTGATGCATCGGTGTATGAGTGGGTATGTGATGGCCAGTTTGTGTCTTGTGATGCATCGGCGTATTTGTGGGTATGTGATGGCCAGTTTGTGTCTTGTGATGCTGTGTCTTGTGATGCATCAGCGTATGTGTGGTATGTGATGGCCAGTTTGTGTCTTGTGATGCATCGGCGTATACTTTTGTATTAAAAGTGTCTGTGTCCGTGTTTTGTATTCGTGATCATGTGATGTGTCAGATTGATGGCAGAGTTTGATGAACAGCGGCCAGTTTGTTTGTTTTAAATTGAAATTTGTTTGCTGGGTGTTTCCTGAAGTTTGATCGTTAGTTGAAAGGGATTTGTTTATTATATTATGTATGATTTTAAGGACCAGTGATCACTGCCCCATGTGACGTTATAAACTTCCCAGCTTGTTTTTGTAAAGATTTGCTGTCAAAGAGATAGTTATGAATGACATGGTGATGGGTATAACTTTGAGTTAATTTTAGTTTAGTGATATGACTTTAGTTTATTTTTCAACTGTGGGTGGCAGTTAGGAAACTGGCATAAGATTTTTGGTAGAGTTTAACTTGTGAGCAAGGCTATTGTATTTTTTACAATATAAAAAGAAGGGCAGCTGCTATGAACTTAATAAGTTTGTTATGTTGTTATATTTTTGTTGAGTTATGGTTGCTGAAGGTGCTGTTTTTAAATTTTGATTTTTTTTTTGCTTTTCTGTTATTTTGCTGAGTAATGTGGGTGGTGGTGTGGTTGTATGGGTGTTGGAGTGGTTGGGCATGCTGACGGGATTGGGGGTTGTGATGGTGGATGGTTGGGTGGTGGATGGTTGGGTGGTAGTGGTATGGGGACGGCGGATTTAAATTTTGGTTTGGGCCTGGGTATTGCCTGTAGTAGGGGCCGGGGTTGGGAGTTGGTGTGGTTTAAGGGGTAGGGTAGGATAGGTTGTGTATGTGTATGTGTATGTGTATTAGGTTTGGTGGGGGGTGGGGGGTAGGGGGTAGGGGGTAGGGGATGTGTCTACTATGGTTTCTGTGTGTTTGGAGGTGGGTTGAGAAGTTGCGAGTATCTGTTTTGGTTTAGGTTTTTGTCTTTGAGATTGTGGTTTCTGGTTGTTTGGGGGAGTAGGGGGGCGGGGTTGGAAGGAACTAACTGTAGAGTCTAGAGTCTGGTCTGACAGTGGTAGGAATTCCTCGTCTGTGGTAATGTGGTGTTGTTGTATGATTGCTGGTTTTGGTCATGTGACTGTTTTATGTTTTTATCAAGTTTAAAAATATGTTGTTTGATTGGTTTGGTTTGCTATATGTCCTTCGGCATTACAGTTCCTACAGAAAGGAGCCCACGTGCACTCCTGAATTAGATGGTTTTCAGAGTCACATTTTGGACATAGTGGGTCATTTTTGCATGTAGTAGAGTGCATCAAAAGATTGGCACTGGTCACATTGGATTGTTTTTTTTCTGATGGGGTGGACTTTATCATTTATTGCGCAGAAGGTGATGTGAGTGGGGAGTGATATGGCTTTGAATGTTATGAAAATTGTTTAGGTGGATGTTCTGCCTGTGATGGGTTGTTTCCTCTTTACTGTTATGTATTCTAGTATTTTTGGTTGTGTTGGGTATTGGTTTGCTAATTGTATCTATTCTTCCATGTCTTGTGTCCAGGTAAATGACTCTTTGTATTTGTGTTTGCCTTGTGGGGGCTGCAAATTTATGTTTAAACCATCAATGGTGGGGGCTCTTAGTACGTTATGGAGTGCTGATTGGTTTGGTGATTTGAAGCCTCGGCCGCAAAAGTTGGCATATTAAATTTTATATTCTAAATTTGCTTGGGGTGTTTTTTTGGTGCATACTTTTTTGGCTGTTTTTATGCAGTTCCGTAGGTGATATATATGATCTCATGTTATTTCTGTTTGTTTTAGGTTGTGTGAGTTGGGTGGATTTGTCGGTGGTGGATCTGGCTGAGCTGTGTGGTGGTCAGGTAGACTTTATTGTTGGTTGATCGTAGTGTTGAGTTGGATGATGATGATGATGATGATGATGATGATGATATGTAGAAGATGTTCCCTATTATTCCCTGTAGGCATGTGTCACTGTAGGCGTTAGAAGACCTAACTAGTCAATATACTCTGTAGCTATTATTCCCTGTAGGCATGTGTCACTGTAGGCATTAGAAGACCTAACTAGTCAATATACTCTGTAGCTATTATTCCCTGTAGGCATGTGTCACTGTAGGCATTAGAAGACCTAACTAGTCAACATACTCTGTAGCTATTATTCCCTGTAGGCATGTGTCACTGTAGGCATTAGAAGACCTAACTAGTCAACATACTCTGTAGCTATTATTCCCTGTAGGCATGTGTCACTGTAGGCATTAGAAGACCTAACTAGTCAACATACTCTGTAGCTATTATTCCCTGTAGGCATGTGTCACTGTAGGCATTAGAAGACCTGACTAGTCAACATACTCTGTAGCTATTATTCCCTGTAGGCATGTGTCACTGTGGGCATTAGAAGACCTGACTAGTCAACATACTCTGTAGCTATTATTCCCTGTAGGCATGTGTCACTGTAGGCATTAGAAGACCTGACTAGTCAACATACTCTGTAGCTATTATTCCCTGTAGGCATGTGTCACTGTAGGCATCGCGTGATAATGTTTTTCAAATAGTGTTCCATCCCTGCCATTGAGGTAATTCAGGAATGGTTAGCTGGCCTAAAGGGACAACGTTTTGCTTTTTGTCATAATGGAGAAACTCCAATTTTTATATATTTTTAGAACTTGTTTAAGGATTTTCATTTGAAATAAAACAAATTTATCAAGATGCTGCATTATATATTTTGGGGGCATGCATCATTAATTTACGACAATTACAAAAGTGGAGACAAGTTACCAGAGACAGACCAGTCTTCCTCTTTTCTCATGAATACATAGTTGGTATATGTATAATATGTAATAGTAACACTAACAATTTGATGGGTTCAACTCTCGGTTCACCCCGATTATGTTTCTATGTTTGTCAGCACCATACATGGGTTTCACCAAAGTGGTAAACGTCCTGCATTGCTTCAAGCTTACCTCTCTGGACTTTTGGATTTTGACAATCAATCACAATCAATTATCAAATATGAGATTGGGATATTGAATATGATTTAGCATATTGATATTAAAAACAAGTTTTTTAAGGAAAATAGTGTTAAAAACGGATTTTGTAAGGAAAACCTTTTCCATAAGATGACTTCTATGCTCACTTTGACCTTTTGGCCCAAGTGAACCAATGTCATGGATTGTTTGTCAATTGTTATTTGATTTAAAAACAACTTTGAAACCATAAACCTGTGAAGGTGAAACTTAGTGAGTACATATTCCTCTTCTATACTGAAAAAGTGTGAATAACCACCTGATGTTTTTCATATTACCTGGATGTGTGATTAGCGAGGACTGGAGTGTGTATGCCCTCAAGATGTATAGCGATGCCTTCATTACGAAGACCTGGATGTGTGATAAGCGTGGACCTGAGTATGTGTCCTTGCGATGTATGAAAATGCCTTCATCTCGAGGACTTGGATGTGTTATTATAAGAGAGGCAGTGTGTTAGCCCTTGCGATTAATACACCAAAGCCTTCATTGTGAGTACCAGGATTAAGCATGCCCTTGCGGTGTACAACAATGCCTTCATAATTAGGATGGATGTTGGATGGATATTTTTTTTGTTTAATGCCGCACTCAGCAATATTCCAGCTATATGACGGTGGTCTGTAAATAATCAAGTCTGGACCAGACAATCCAGTGATTAATATGTTGATCATGTTATGCCATGACACATTGATGATAGTAATTTAAAAGAATTGGGTGGCTTTTAACCCTTTTTGAGTGGTATAGGATGACACAATGATCTGTTCAAATAACGTTGATCCAAAGGCTTATTCCACACACCAAGGTTATTACACATCCTCATTATGATGTCTATGCTTGTCGTAAAAGGCAACTAACGGGATCAGGTGGTCAGGCTCGCTGACTTGGTTGATGCATGTCATCGATCCCAATTGGGTGGATCGATGCTCATGATATTAATCACTGGATTGTCTGGTCAAGACTTGATTATTTACTGACCGCCGTCTTATAGCCGGAATATTGCTGAGTGTGGCATTAAACAACAAACAAACAAACAGTTAGCTAGCATGATCAGCAGTGTTTGGTTTGGATAGTCAGAACGATGGAATTGTACGTAATATTAAGTACTACATAATGTCCACAAGGGACACATATTTGTATTATTTAAGTTTAAATCTACCAGAATTTGTGATGAAAGTATGGACAGATTTGCTTCAGATGATAGGCCTTCACATCCGTAAAGTACTGTATTAACATCATATCCTATATGTAATATAATAAATTGCTCCTAATTTGATCAGAATTGTAACGAAAAAGAAGTAGTGTAGCAGGTCTTCATGGTAGTGACTTAAGGAGAAAACTGGACTGTCAGTTATGATTCCTCGAATTGATGTCCGTTTAGGTCACTGGATCTGAGTGAGGCGGCAGGCGATATTTTGACTGAAACTGATTCCAAAATTTGTATAATAAAAAATGTTTGTAATTGTAAGTGCATAATAATACACTTCGAGAATTTGAATATGAGCCAGTAGATTTAATTTCTTCGTATAGATTATACTCTAATTTTGTAGAGTTAGGTGTTAAGGATTTTGTAGAATCTTACATCTGAAAGTTTGTAATCACTACGAGTGTTAGCTTGGTCTGGGATACGGTTGCAGAGATAAGCTGGTGCTTAGTTATTTACCATTTTGTAGAATAAAGCTAAAGATTGATTTTTGCGTCTAAGTAACAATGCTTTCACATTTGTTTCTGTATACAGTTTTTAAGTGCTTATGCCCTTTGTTGCACAACATGCAGTGTTCCCGCTTGATTTTGAAACTGCCAGTGCTGGTGGACTGTCAACTCCAAAAATTACAATTACCCCCTAATTTTTGTTAGTCCCAACTTTAAATCAATAAGAAATGTACAAACTTTACCTGGTTTTAATTCCCTCAACATGTTCAATACAATGATGTCATCTCTGCAGTAACATACTTAGATCTACAAGTCATTCATACAAAGTTCAGTCACACTTTTCTCTCTCTTTTTTGAATATTTCGAGACAAAGTCGCTACACATATTTAACCTTGAAGAAAGGCAAAATGTTATTTCCTTCCACTAATAGTTGACAAGGGGAAACCCTGATGGTAACAGACAAGCTGACTTTGTTTGGAAAAATTTAAATATTGCTTATGTTTTGTTCAACAACAAAGATTTTTATAAGGTACTAACTATATTTGCTGCTCAACAGGGACTGGCAGTCACATGAATTACCGGTCCAAGCCGAATTTGACCTGTAAAAAACTGGTAATTACCGGTAAATGGGAACACTGATATGGTTCTTAGAGCATCCAGATTTAATCTTTCCAGTGTCAGTTTGTGATTTTGTAGTACAATTATTCCCAATTTTACTACAAATAATCATTTTTTTTGTTTTTTATTGTTTCTGAAATGAAGTACCTGTTACATAAAATGGGCTTCCACCCAGGGCAGCAGAAAGACATGACATGTAGCACAACTTATCAGTACATCTTAGATTTATATGGAAAATAACATACTTCTTACTCACACATTCACTCTAGTAATACAAACATACTGCATATATTAAGTATGCATATTGTATATAATATTGCAGTGCAGGAAAGTACATGGTCTCAAATATTACATTCTTAAGTAGAAAACTAAAATGAAAGCTGCTACTTGTGGGTAATTGTTTCCTTTTCATTGTGACAGAAGGAGCACTCATCATTTTAATTAAGTACACACAGAACAGAATTAGGAGTGAGAATTCCGTGGGTAAGTTTGTATTGAAATCAACACTGTTTTACATCCTGTTTTGTACCAAATATTTTATTACAGATATTGTTCCAATTTCAGTTTTCAAATTGTAACTCCCACTTTTCCTGCCCATTAGTTTTTACTTCTGTAGCAAGGGGGCTCAGGTAGGGTGAATATTTTTTCATATGTAAAATCTCTTAAAGCCACATGAATAAGGAAACTTGTGTCCCCAGGTGCACCTATTTCAATCTACACATCCTTATATGTGTAACATTTTTTGAGAGAAAGTAATGTGTTTTGGAAAAGTTGGTCATTTATAGTGTTTCATGAAAAAATCAAGCCAGAATATGCAGTATTTTTTTAACTGAAGCAGTTTTTTACAACACTAATATTAAATGTAGCGCCAAGAAACACAGTGTGAATCTCTCACCGTCAGTTTATTCATGTTTTCTAATTCTCATCCTTGAAGAGTTACTGTTAGCGTTATCAAATACCTACGTTGATGATGAGGAGGTTCAGAAAACTACAAAAAGGAACAAAACACTTGCTCAGTTTTCAACACAAACCTGAACCATTCAAAGTATACAAATATTCAAATTCAAAGTTGCATCATAATAATTACTTAAATGAAATATTTCTGTTTAGATCATTTGTACATAAAGACAATGTAAAGATGAGAGAACAAAACTCACATCTGTGTTCTGCCATAAACCATGTCTTTGTTTTAGCCCCTTAAGACAGGGTAACAACAAGTACCATTGTTTAACATCGTTTGGTATGCTGCGGACGGGGATTGAACCCCGGACCTTCCACTCACTGTGTGAACGCTAGACCATGGGTAAACGCTAGACCATGGAGTCGGTCACTTAACCAAGGACACTTGTGGACTTTAAAATATTTTAAAATATTATAATTAACTGATACTTTTTATAATGTGAAACATTAGACTACTCGTACATTAAAATTATTTGTTTCTGTAAATATTGGATTAGGGTGTCCCCAAATTATAAACTTGGTCAAGGCAGATAAGAAGTTTCTATCATATAAGGAATGTAATGACATTTATGATATCTGTTCATCCTATTTAGAATTTTAACTATTTGTAGTTCCAAGTCATGAAAGCATATTTATTGTTCATTAGTTTCTATAGATTTATATAATTTTCACTACTATTTTGCCTTTTTTGCTCAATGGAATCTGTTTCAGGGAATATTCAAGACTGGCTATTCTCTGGCATTGACATTTCATATTAACTGTTGGTCATGAAGCAGTAGGATCACCAGTGCAGTTTCTGATTTGCATGTACAATGTATCCTGTGTATCCTGTGTTCAACAAAGTGTTCAATTCCATTCAGGATGGACAATAAAACACTTCAAAAGTACAGAAGATGGTGCTGTGAGTGGCATTGGTCAGTGTTGTCTGTGGACAGGCTATCAGAGTAGTTACGGGGGTGTCAAATATGGCCAGGTTAATGTTCAATTAACCGCAAATGGCAAATGGAGAGCTGTTCATGTTCACGAGATAGTCTACATGATAGCTACCAGCCAATTCAGTTTAGGTGCAGTGTCTCCCATCTCTGTGGAAACACCTGTGGTGTTGGGGGCACCTGTTACCGGAGACCCACCCCATGAAGCTCACCCCATGAAGGTCCTGCATGGACAGTGGTGGGGTGCCAAGATGCTTGGTGACCCTCAGACTGTGACAAGGCTTGTTTTTATTTGATGGCTAACAGATGTCTGACTAACTGAGAAATGGGAATACAAACAAGATTATGATATTTGTCATGACATCATTTGGGTGAGTTGGTGAAGTAGACAGAAAATGATGATAATTTGACTTAGGCTGCAGGATGTGTCTATGTTTGCAGGTCATGTAAACATGCATTTAACTTTTGTCAGGAAGTTTCTTCTTTTTATCTGGTGTTATCAGTGGCCAAAGATTATATACATTATTCATGACAAAAGAAAGACCGGTAAATGACGATACAAGTGTACTTATATTATGTTTTCGGTTTGTGGCTTCTGACTTTGGCCTGGAGATGTTTAATTGTGTTACTATTGTTACATGAAGTGGGAGATCTGTAAACCAACAAATTAAAGTGTTGCCAAATCTTCATGTAAGTGTGTTAACTTCGTTATGTTACAGTTTTTTATGATTTCACCCACATTAGTGTAGAACCAATAAAGTGTGTCTCAAACATGAATGGCAGTTATGTTCATGTCTAGCCTCTTTTGATCACCGGTATGATCAGGGAGAGGTTTTGTAGTTTGTAACTCTCTGAACCCAAACATTACTTGAATAGTGCAGATGATGGGAGAATGGCCTTCCCCTCCCCGGACCAGGTCCAGCTCCTGTTAAGTAAAACTACTACATTGCTACATTTTACAAGCCAAACATGATGATCCAGTAATGGACATCACATAATTGATAAAACTTAAGACCTCCATGGAACCATCGTCAGGAGCTGGACCAAGTCCAGGGTGGGGTGAGGCCGTACCGCCATCGTCTATACTACTGCTTGTATAACGCTGGGAGACTGCATGAGTGAGTGAGTAATATCATGTTGTTACAAAAGGAGAGAGTGAGTGAATATTGTTTTCCACCCCTGTTAGTGATATTCCAGCAATATCAGGGAGTGGACACAAACAAGCGGGTGACGAGCGAATGCTTCAACCACTAGGTTACCCTACCACCCATTAAGAGAAAGAAAGATAGGCAAGACATGGTCTGAGATGTGTGTCAGTATCGCACATGGACATGAGATGTGTGTCAGTGTTGTATATAGACATTAGACATACGTGTGTCAGTATATTTCATAGTATGCCACACACTACCATAGGCACCATTCACCATTGTTACAGCTGTTATTGTGTTGTAGGAGGAGTGAGTGAGTTGGGTTTAACGCCGCTTTTAACAGTATTCCAGTTATATCATGGCGTGTCAGCTTAATGTGGGAGGAAAGCCCGAAGTGATGCAGGTCTCAGACGTTTACCACTTCAGTGAAACCCACGAGCACGGGTATGGTGCTGACAAATCTAGAAACATAATCGGGGCGAACCGGGATTCGAACCCACAATCATAGGTTACTGGCGTGCCCAAGGGACGCAACTCTGCACAGCGAATCGCGGCGCCTTAGACGACTGGGCCACCCGTGCCCCCTGTTGTAGGGGGAGTATTTGCAGCAACAGACATATGAGGATTATGTTACTGTAAGCAGTATGGGTTTTTTTCCTCCTATAATGGGTAGGTCCATTGATATGCTGACAAGTACTCAGCATTTCTTTAAGGGACTGAAAATAAATTAAATATTCACAATAATTGATGACAGCATTGTAGCAGGACTGCCCACAGACCACAGACACTACGGTGTTTCATCAATGGCCAATATTTATTTGCAGAAATTCGAATGTGATTTTAAAGAAAAACCACCCTGAAACAATCAGGTATACAATATAGCACATATAAAACAATATACATATCATAAACACATATATGTACATACAATTCATATGCATACTAGTATGATGAGATACAGTACAGAGTATTGTTGTAAATGTACTGGGTAGAATATATTTATGTACATGTTAATTAGAAACGTATTCTGTCTTGATATATGATCAAATACATACACTAGATAATGACATGTAAACGACAACATGTAAACAACAAGTAAACCTACCAGGTGTGTGGGCCTGGGTTGATATCACACCTGGGGACGATGCCCCGCTAAGTTTCTGCACAGTAGTGCAAAACTCGTCTGCAGAGGAAATAATAATATATACAGTACATGCAGACGTGCCAATAAGAACAAATACTTTCTATCATATATACATGTAGCTGAACATGAAAGAAATATTATAAAATGCCTCATGCATTCATTCATTTATGTTTACCTTCATTCATTCATTTATGCTTACTTTCATTCATTCATATATGCATACTTTCATTCATTCATGCTTACTTTCATTCATTCATATATTCATACCATGCATGCTTGCTTAGCCTTACCTCTTTTATCACAAGTAAGCTCTATAATTTCTAAAACTACTAATCTTACTTTTTAGTTTAATGCTTATATATGTTTTAATGAATGTAGAATACTTATTTGGTTGTTAAACTCAATAAAATTACGAATCTACATTCCGTGTATTCGTGTCTAAACACACATATGCTCCAAATACAAACAATATCTACAATATTGCAAATACAATTCAATGAATAAAATCCTCAATTCAATAATACAATACTAACCTTGGAATTTGATCTAAGGTTCCCCAATAACGATCCTTGTGAAAAAAACACGTGAATATATATATATATCTTTATCCGTGGAGAGGTATATGTGGAGTGACCACAGTCCTTAGGTGTCCAGCACACAGCATGGCTGAGTACCCAAGCTGGCCATATAGACAAAAGGCTTGAGTAGGGAGAGGGCTGGGGCTATTGTGTTAGTTGAACTTAGTTCACAGGGTGTGACATTCACAAACAAACCATGCACTAAGCATGCTTAGTAAGAGTGATGTGACTGATGGTTTAGTGTTAACAGTAGGCTGAGCAATAAGATAGAATGACTACAACTGCATTTAATTATGTACATGAATTATACTTAAAAGGTAAAATACAAGAAATGGTCACTGCCACTGCATCAGCAGCATTTTCCATAGCCTCAGCTGTGGGTGTAAGAAAGGGTATCAGTGAGTGAGTGAGTGAGTGAGTGAGTTGGGTTTAACCCCCCTTTGAACAGAATTCCAGTTATATCACCCTTGTGTCAGATTGATGTGGGAGGAGACCCAGAAGTGATGCAAGTACCCAGACAAATAGTAGCATTATCCGCATCCTCTGACAGGTAACGATTGATGAAACCATATATGCATCATAATGAATAGTCCACGGTCCAGTTATGTCAGTGCTCTTAGTGCAACGTATCAATATCAATATCAACAGCCATAATAAAATTTATAAAAACCCATTAATTTACTATGCATATGTTTTGGTCCAGACTACACCATGCTTGTGGGTATGGACATGGATTCAGATAAGAAATTCAGTGTTCACCCTTGATGAGTGCCCATCCACCTCACAACACACTCAGTAAACCTCCATTTACCATCTTGGCTGTAAATTATATTGGGATCGCTATTAAGTAAGAGTCTTCTTTCTATAGGCATTAAAACCCATTGTGAGGTTTTACTTTCCAGTCGGGTTAAATCTCATAAACAGGGACATTGTAATGTCCCAGGGATTTTATATAATGTCCTGGGTAATTTATTAATATAACTTCCGTTCAGATTGTAACATGTAATGAAATGTAAAATTAATGACAAATGTTTTCTTTATGTTCCCGAGGATCGAACTCGCAACCTATATATCTGTAGCCCTGTGAGTGTACCACGAGGCTACAGTGGTGTTGATAAGCCTCACTGGTTTTTAGAATGTCCTTTTCAAGATCCGTACGCCAGCAACAGATATTATACGCGCGTTTCCTAAGGTTCATGGAAAGTATGTTCGAAACATAAAAATGTTGATAAATGTTGTTTTAAGTTTCTTTTTTCGGTTTATAAGCATGGAAAAACATTTCCCCCCTTGGTTTTTCCCTCTCCCCAGGGCATGCTCTGTCTACCAAAACCTCGTGAGCGTGTTTTCTCCAATACTTATTAACTCCACATGGTTGAACATGATATTTATTGTCAAACTTGGAAATCGGAACTTCAGCACTCTAGGATTTTAATGGTAGATGTTTTTTGTTTTTTTTATCAAGTTGTGAGAGAGATGCCGCTTTGTTGATGTGACGCAGTTGTTAATATAGACTGTCAACAGGATGGAAAGGCTATTTTAGATCATTATTGAGTCCCCATGTGGATTTTTGACAAACTAATAGCCAATAAGTAGTCTACTAGAAACCATTGTATATCTATACTCACTAGTGTTTTACAAAATATACATGCTTTGTGAATTAAGCAAACCATGCTCTCTCACACAGCAAAAAAAGTGTAGGTTTCCGGATTCCGGAAACCTTCCGGAAACCTTCCGGATACCTTCCCATTTTGGATCCGGCCCGGATACCTTCCGGAAACCTTCCGGAAACCTTCCAAAAATAATGTCAAAATTTGGGGGGTGCATTTTGTTCACTTAAGTGTGAAACATATAAAAAAGTTATCTTGAAAATACCAAGAGATTTGAAGGTTGCTGAAGGCATTTGGAAGGTTTCCGGAAGGTTTCCGGAAGGTATCCGGATGCAAATTTTCTTCATGTATTTTTTAACAATAAATGTGTCAGTGTGGGATATCATTCAACTGCAGTGATTTTCTGAGTCATCACATTCCTCAATATCCTCAGTAATGTTTGAGATTAAATCAGTACATATAGTGTAACTTCATAAGGAGTAAACACTAAAACAAAAAAACTTCCCCCCTCTGCCTTTTAGATAGCTTAAACTCAGTGGGCATTATTGTTTAATGATATAAACTGTGAATTTTATGGACATAAACAAGTCCTCGGGAAAGTACTTGCAATAGGAGACTTAATGGTTTGAGTGACCCCAACTCGAAGGGATCCTGCTTGTATGTAATGAATCATTACTTCAGCTAAGTTGACTGTTTAATAAGGATATTGGTTGAACCTACTAAAGCCTCAATTAGAAGATAAATTGGAATCTGACATGGATTAGATAAATACAAAGGCATAACTACAAAAATCAAGTGCCCTTCAGGCACCAGGAACTTCTTAACCGTGTCATTGTCACTGTAACACAAAATGTTACAACCTGAATAATTATAAAGATTTCAACCAGAATCAACTGCCATTCACTTATTGTCATTGGACTGACCCAAAAGAACTGGTATTTATAACCAAATTTGTTGTTCAGTGATCCTTTTTTCACCCCATAGATAACTGGTCATCCTGGTAAATAAAGACAAAAATGATGCTCAAAATTTCATGTGCTTACATTCAAATCTTTTATTTATTTTTACAGCCTTAAGTCAATCTTCTGTCAATCAATGGGGCATGTTGCATACAATTGCCTTCCTTATTGAATGGTAAAATTTAGAGTTCCCTTTATTCACTAAGTGGACACCATCAGGCAGAAACAAGGAATCCCGCATGTTAAACTGGCGGCTGTGGTCCCATATGGTGACATGAGGGTTGTCACCCAACTGTTCCTGGAGAGTCTTGTTAATTGTCCTCATTTTCTTACTATAAGCA